AATGTTGCCCTAAACCTTTCCCTGACTTTCACACCTGAGCAGTGTTAAGTCTGCTGTATTTTGGGGGTGTCTGTTTTGCAGAAAACAAGAAAAACAGACACTGATACTTGAAATTTTGTGCATGGCTATTGAAAATCATCAGAATCTGTTTTGTACTAAGTGCATGTGCTACACACTAAGGGTGGAGTTAAGTTAAAGCCCTGATGCATAAAGCACTCGGGATCTCAGCTGAACCATGGCATTTCAGGCCTAGAGTGGGATACAGCTACTACGTAGGCAACATTTCTCAGCCATTCACAGAGTGAGCTCAACCTTCTCCCAAGACTTTTCCTATCCTATCCCTCTAGTATAGTTAAATCTGTTGGCATACAAATAGATTTGTACTTCTGGAGATAAGCCTTTCCCAGCGTAATAATAGTATCAATCTGTGACTTTCTTAAAGACTTAGGAGCTTGGAAAAACTTGAATTCTTGGTGTGTTTTGTAGTTAAAATGCTTTGTTGCTACCTCTGTTAGCTCAGAGAGGAGCAGTTCAAATGGCATCCTAATGGCAGGTCATAGGTCCTTGGCTGATTCACCCCATGCTACCGAGAGCACTGACAGTTTTTCTCCCCTCTGCAATGTGCAGTGCTATTGTACCTTATAGAAAATTTTGGATTCTGTTCCACCAGAGAATTTTAGCATGTAGCAGAAGAAACTACAGCATCAGCGCACACCAACCTCTCCTCCACCCACTTTAGCTCCTGTCTCACAGGAGCTGGTCCACTATTTTGAAAGGTAAACTAACTTGCTAAAAAAAGCTTTGAAGCCTTCAGTGAACATCTCCTTAGAGATATTATTCCCTCATTTAAACTCACAAAAGTCTGTTGCCATCCAGCAGCTAGCTGGCTATGCAAGTTCTTAGAGAAATCCTGCAGGTCTCACTTTCCCCACCAGCTCCCTCCCTCCTGTTACGTATAGGGCTTTGGCATGGGACTAAGACCTGCATGTACACTTAGAGAGAGTGCAAAAACCAAACGGGTTTGGGGAAATTAGTTCAAATGGTGCCTATACATTTAGGATTTTTAAGGTCAAGGGTAGGAAGTGTGCAGGCTAAGATCCAAATTCCTGATGAGACATACACGTAGATCATGATATCCATAAATTGAGAGTCTTGTTTGGCAGAAAATAATATACTGGAACATGAAGGTGTCACCGAAACCTGGGAATAAACCTTGTAACACCAATGTAGTGTTAAAAGGCAGGCATTCTTTATTGCAGCGCTGGATGCACGGGGGATAGCTCCACCCAATGTGCATGCCAGGTGATTACCAACACATAGGTTATATAGAATCGAAATATACATATTAATCATTTTTCTCAGAAAAGGCAGTTCTATGATAATAATTTATTAGAATTCATTTACCTATTCTCCTCCCCATCACGCATACTCAGTGATTTGAGTTGGTGGTCCTCAAGGGGTCTCTGGTGGTCGTCAGTGGTCGCGCACCCGTGTCCGCTGGATGACCCTGTTTTTGCGGGCATGCGCAGTATCCTTGCTGTGGATACACCTGTCTGTAACAACTTACTTCATAAGATTAATATCTCCAAAACTATTGTCCGGTTGGGTAGGGATTGTACATGGAACATACCAGCATTGTACATTGCCATGGTCAGTTAGCTTCATTACCTATTACCTTGGTTACAAACTAATTATCTTAAACTGATTCTATAGTTTCTGTTTCACGGCCCCTATCCCATGATTACAAAGGTATAAGCATATGTGTTTTATTATAGGGTTCCTTAATAATAGTTGCTAGTAAAACAGAATTTCCAATTCAAACAAAGAATCTTACCTTTAGTCAGTCCTTTGTTAATTTAGCCACTCTGAATTTCATCAAATAGGGGCTATATACCTAGGAATTCCTCTGACAATGGGGTCCCCCAAAGTCTGGATGATTATCCAATTAGAATTTAAAGCAACATACAGCAAAGACGACTGACTAAAGATAGAAGTCTCTGAGGAAAAGAGCAGGAAAGGGTGTGAGAGAGTGTGTGTGAGAGAGCTTCACTCTCTCTTATAATTAAAAAGTGAGGAGGATTATACCTGCTCTTAAGTTTTGTAGTGAGAGGAATCAAGGACCCTGGTATTGAGTATCCATCTGCCTGCTCTCCCTCCTTTCTTCTTTTCTTCCACTTCTCTCTCTTTTGCTATGTGCAGAAAAAATGAAAACCTGACATTGATTCTTAAGGAGGTTTTTTTTTTTTTAGATTTACATGTGTTAACAAAAAAAGCCATCTTCACTTAAAGACTCTGGGATGTACAGGCAGAGAATAAAGATTGCTGTTAATCCTGGGCTTAGTCAGGGGAGTGGTGAATGGCTTCTCCCAGAAACCAAAGGGAGATGCCAGAGAGCCGTTACCTTGGAAATCCCACCCAGAGCAGGATCATCAAGAGCTGAGCTAACGGCTCCTCCTAGGCTCTTCTAGGTACTGGGAGTTGTTGACAGAAGGAGGGTCTTTTTTCATACCTGGAAGGAGAATTGCATGGTGATGCATTCCCATCCCATGTCCATCAAAAGTACTGTGCTCTCTGAGTTGGCCCAGGAGAGTCCCTAGTTGATTCAGAAACATTTGAGATTGAAGGATGATCAAGCCCACTTACTCTTCTTTATCACTAACAGCTCTTCACCCTTAGGCACGGTTGAGCTAACATTGCTGTTTAACCCTTGCAGCTTGGTATATGACCTTTTCCTTCAGCCAGCATGACTGTAAGGCAGTGGATTGCCTTGGACACAAGCTGGCAGCTGTGCGTCTCATGCTAGAGCAGCTTCCAACACCAAATTCCTGTGTCCTATCATTTGCTCCTTTACCAGTCCTGTGTGTCGTATCAAAAACTCGTCAGCCCCATTTTATATTCCCAAGTCTCCCCAGATTCACTAGGATCAACCTGAAGTCTTGTTGAGGAAAAGTCACACTATCCTAGACCCTCATTACTCACTCCATTATCAACCAGGATTCTGCTGTTTACAAATTTACATCATTAAAATGACCTTTTAAGACTGTTTTAGGAGTTTTCTTTCCCCATCTGCTTTTTCCTGTCCTCCTCCTAGATACATTTTGGCACCCAAAACTTTTTCTTCATTTTCCTTGTACAGATAGAAATGGGAGATAAGGAAGATATTTGCCTTCTGTATGGTTTAAAAGTCTTCTCCCATTGACTTAACTGGCTCTACACCTTGCAGAGGGTAAAAATATCAGGGTGTCATTCTGTCTTTAGAGCCCAGTAGAGTTCTAGGCCACTGCTGGAGCTCTGGGACTGTAGCAATGTAGAAAGAAACTGTGGATTTGAGTTGCAGCATTTTACATCTGCATGTGTAAATGATGACTTACAAACCGAGGGATCAGAGAGGATCATTCTCTGCATCAGCAGTTTGCAAAGTTTTATAAGCACAGCTATCCATCCCTTTAGCTGCACAGATACTGCAGCCTGCAGAGCCTGACAAAAAAGCTCAGGGTAAAATAATGTCCCCCAAAAACCTTTTACACTGGGTTATTTCAGCAATCCAGCTTAGACTGTGGTCCAATGAGCAGGGAGGAAGGAGAAACATGCCAAACTGTGGCAGCCAGATGAAAACAAGCAGCCAGAAGACAGGGAGAGTCTGAAGGAGAGGAGCTCCTTAGCCTGGCTGTGGTGCCAAAGCCCCTCCAAGGCTCTGCATCTCCAGTAAGCTGTCTCCGGGTCTCTCCTTGCTGACGTGAAGTGCAAATAGACCAGGACTCAGTGGGAGGAGGAATGCTCTGGAGTTCCCAAAGTTTGCAGGAAGGCAGAGGAGAGGCAGCCAAGTATTACATTCACTATGCATGTCTTCTCTGGCCAGGGAGGGGGCAGTTCCCCACAGCTCTGCTTCCAAATCTATCAATGCCAGCGGCAGCCTGGAGGCAGCCTGGCTGTCTTGAGCAAGCGTGACTCACTGCTACACCACACAGCTGAATTATATGGAGTGGGTGGGCAGTATTTGTCACACTGTCGTGAGGATTTGGCTATGTTAAGCAAGCACATAGGCTGTCTGGGCTGTTGGGTCAACCTTTGCTATATACACAGAGGTCTCTGACTTAAGTTTACTGGAACAAGATGAATGTGGCAAGGGCAAAAGCATGACACACACAGAAGACAGACAAGACACTGCACCAGTGCTAAATAAATTTATCGCAGTAGATGCTGCATCAAAAGCTGAATGATTCTTAGACTTCATTCACAACCTGTCTAATAAGACCTATGATGAGTATTACAGTCTGAGACTGAGTGTTTAAAAGTGTTCCCTTGACATGTGTGCTACTTAAAGGAACACTCAAGTGATAAATTTGTTTTCCAGTGCTTAAGGGAGATTGAGTGTTCCCCTGCTCACACAAGTAGTCCCCTATCTTACTGCAGATGCAAAACAGACCCCATTTTGCTGTGATTCTGAAACAAGGGAGGGATGAAATCTCAGTCTTGTAGCATGGAGTATCTCTGAGTTACTAATAAAGTGTTAATAATGAAGATTTGTCTTTCTCCAGGAAGGAAAAAACAATGAGAGGCAGGAAGAGGAAGGTATGCTGATGGACAGGGGGATTTTTCTAAACTTAGGAAGAGAGTCAGTTACACAACTGTCACTAATCATACTAGGCTAAATACCCAAGGCAGCCTTAGAGGTTGTAGCCTATGTAGATTTAGAAAAAAACAAATTCAAACAGTATACTGATGACTTTTTGCCCCACAAAGAATCTTTTAATTTCTGATGGTAATGGATGCTACCTGAGTGTGGAAGTGAAATAGAATATACTAATTTTGATGCACGTGGATTTTTTTCAGATGGAAGTCACTGCATAAAAAGTAGAATGGCAGTGCTGTAAATGTTCTGCCTGTACCTTTACTTACCATTAATTACTGACATATAGGATGGTTGTTATAAAGGAATACATGTATTTTTTCAATTAAACAATACTTTTACACTTTCAAATTATCTTCTGTTCCTTCAGTGCTATTGGAAATTTGAAAATTGCTGAAGTTGATCCAGGTGGTCATTTTGTAAAGATCCTCAACTGTGCCCCTGAAAAAAAGGAAAGTATTGGGGATTATCTCTTGAAGCAGGATGTCCAAGGTCAACCAGTGACTGTATTTCGGTTTCCCCCCGAGACCACAATGGGGCCCAACTCCACTGTGACAGTGAGTATGGGGAGTTTGAGTGCCTTTTCTCAGCTGGAAGACTAGGGTACATTCTTAGCCTGACGGTGTAGAGTCAAAGTTAAGTCTGTATTTTCAGAGAGACTAACACTCACAAATAGCGATGAATTCAGAAGAATCTGCTAATGTCCATCATCAGCACAAGACAGGCATTTGTATGACATGTTCAGCGTTTCATGTTGCCCAGCAATGGGAAGCTGTCCTGGAGAGTCCTTGTTTGATACATTCCTTTTTCCAGCCATTGCTCCCATAAAAAGCTCCCCATACTGTCAGAATATTGAGTTGTGCCAGTGTTTGCCAACAGAAGGTGTGAACCCACAAATAATAGAACTGGAGAGGAAACTAGTTTTATGTGTTGCTACTGAAGCAATTAATATGGTTTTGTGTATAGTCTGAGGTATCATTTTAGTAGGGTCTCAACTGACGATAAAAAGAAAAACGATGTTGCTTTCCAGACTGTGCCCACTGTCCGAGGACAGCTGTTATCCAGCAGAAAAAGCCATAAACCATTGTTCTGGCAATGGGGCTCTGTTCCTGGCTTTGCCTTGGATGACTGCAGGCAAAATGATGACACTCTGTGCCTTAGTTTCCTGTTCTGTAAAAGGAAGATAATGATGTGCTCTCCTTTGATGTGGTGCCAGAACTATATGTTAAAAATTCAGTGCATGGGCTGCTGCTCTTCAAAAATTACTTCCCCTCCAGCTAGTTCAGATGTATCTTTTTGCCAGTTTGAATAAGAGTTAGAGAGGTCGGTAGGATCTAAGATGCAAAGAGTCAGATGACTTCATCACACCCCAGAAAAGCTTTAAATAGAAATCAACAAATATGTGCATCTGACATCCGTAGTAATGAAAAAGGCTTGAACGTCTGAACTAAATGTGACCAATGGTCAGTTGTAGCTGTAGCTGAGGAACGTCTGCTGGTGTCTGCATGTGGCCTCCAGCAACCTCTGGGATGTAACCACACTCAGAGTGGGCCCAGCCTCTGCTGTACTAGGTAAAGATGCTGGCTGCTTGGCTAGGTGCAAGACACCTTGCAGATCTCCCCAGAAATGGTTTCCTCTTAGTTGGCTTTGACACACCAACCGTTCCCACCCACCCCAAAAGTAGTCCTTTCTGAAGCACTCTGATCAGTGCTGAAGTCATTGACAAGGTTGCTGTTCCCATTATCATTAAAGGGCTCTTGGGTGAACAACTGACTGAGGTAGAAGGTCCACCACAGCTTCTGTTTCAACGTACACAAGCAGAAAATTTCTGCTGGTTTATTAATTTCAAAGGGTTGTATTCAGGCTGCCAACTGTTGCATCTAAAATTCAAGTACAATAGTGTCCGTGTCAGCCAGCCAGCTGGGTAGGACTTTCAGGCCCCAGCTCCCTGTGAGAGTGACGGATGAACCAAGGCAAAATGCTTCAGTTAGATGCCAGTATAGACACTTGGAATATGGTCTGAAGCCTCTTTTGCCACCAGTGCTTGTTCCTTTTTCTGAGATGAAAATTGAGGCCTCGCAGAATAAAAGGAGACAAAGTCTGTGCTCATCACCAAGCTCAATGCAGGTCAATACAGCCTTGCGTGAGCCCCCTTACAAGAAAGCTGGAAATGCAAGCTGGTGGGGGACCAGAAGAGCCACAGTCACTGCTGTCTTCCGGTGCATGTGTGAAAAAAGCCACAAATACACCTTGGCAGGGTGTCATACGGTGAGCACTTTTGGAAGAGAGCATTTTATATTTTTTTTCAAGATACTTCTCCTTTAAAATGGAATGAGAATTGTTTTGGGTCCCAGGAAATGGTTGAAGCCGTTTTCTCGCAGATGGCAAATGCCAAATCCTTTAGGAACACCATTTGCAAAAGTGTGTTGTAGTTGTATTATGTAAGAGAAATGTTTTCATAACGGGTCCTTTTGCTACTGTATTAGTGATAAAGGTTGCAGATAATTGTGTTCACTTTATAAAGCATAATGTTGTTAAATCCTTTGTATAAGAATAAAAGTACAAAAAATTTCTAGTCTTCTGTAGAGACAGCTTCTCCCTGAACAGAGGGAATCCAGAATCAAGCAGAGACTGGAATTTTAAAGCTGATATCACAGATCTCTTCCAATGCCCCTGGTAATTCGGAAAATAAAAGAAACTGCCTATTTTTAATCTTACTCTCAGCAAGCTAGACCAAAAAGCCCAGGATTTACTGTCACACCTTGAAAAAGATGGCTTTGCTAATCTCTGTTAATCCACAGGAGAGGTACTTGAAAATAATCACTATAACTAAGCTGCGAGTCTTGAAATATAGTTCTTTCAGCTTTGATTTCACAGATCAAATAGTGAGTGGTGTTACAAAAATCAAAAAGGAAAAGGAAAACCTGATGTTTTTACTGAGTTCTTATATTGTATAAATATCCAGGAGCCATTTTGTCTTTAATCTAATGGCTGCTTGATCTTTGCAGGTTTGGGCAGCAGATGCTACAGCGCTTTATAAACCTCCTTCAGATTTTCTTTGGAAGGACCTGGAGAGATTTAGGACAAGCCTTGACTGTGCTACCATTCTCTGTGAGCCTAGCGGTCAAGTGAGTGCCCTGAGCAAAATCACTGCGTTTCCTTACCCAGACAGCTCTATTGCTGGACTTCTTTCAAAGATTTAGGATCATATTGTTAAAATCCTTGTAGAATCAAGCACAAGCAATCCAAACATAGCAAAGCTGCGATCTTTCTCTGTTAACCTTGCTTCAGTGTGGATGTTAATTATTAGGATCTGCCATCAGCTTGGCAACTGTGTTGAATATTTTTAGGCAAACTTCTGTTGACTTGGGGATGAGAAAGAGCCCAAGGTAATTTCATACCCTATAGTTGTCCAGTGGCAGCTATAGGTTTGGTCATTTTTAGCTAGACAAACTTGAACTAGTGACAATGTGGAAAAGACCTGTGATTTTCATAAACTGTGCGAGTTATAGAGCTTCCCCAAGGTAGCAGAATTTACACCTTACAAACCATTAAGTGAATGTTGACTTTTGGTCTCACCTTTTCACATTTACTCCTCTTCTAGCTCAATTTTGCCATACTTGCTATTACATCAGTGTCAGGGAATCAGAGGCTGAAAGGGAACTTGAGACGTGATTACCTCTGCCAGGATTGCTCCTAGCTGTGACTTACCTAGGTAGTTCTGGAAGACCTTCAGTAAGGGAGACAGACTCCCCCATGTCCCCAGCAATCTGCTTTAGTGCCTCACTCTCTGTATGCTTAGAAAAGCTCTTCTTGTGCCTAATCTGAACTTTTTCTGTGTCAGTTTTAGTCCTTTCCTTCTTGTCCTATCCACTGTGGACATGGAGAACAGATTGCGTTTTCTTCCTTCAGCAGCCTTTGATATACTTGCAGAATTGTCATGTCCTCTTTTCTCTCCTTCTTCGAGTTTACTTAATCCGAGCAGTGGAATTTCAAGATCCTTAGATGATGAGGCTACCCTAAATATATTTAAAGACTAGAAATGGATTTTAAAGACCAAAGAGAAAAAGTTGGAATTTGCTGGTTGCGATTAGTATTTATCATTCAAATGATAAATAACTCAGAAATACATTGGAGCATCTACCCTTTCAGCCCTTCCTGGTTTGTCTACAACAAATAATTATCTTGATGAAAAACAGAATATAAATAAGCAGTGATATGTTGTTTGTTTGGTTTTTTTCCAGGCTGTGGCTTGGTACACCCCTCTCTACTGGAACAGAAGGCAAGGATGGGTGGCAAGAGAGGAAAGTGAAAAATTTGAGAACATTGTTATGCCAACTTTCTCAACAAGAAAGCAAAAAGAGGGATGGGAAAATGAACAGGAATTTACAATAACTGATACAGAGTGGAAGAGGACTGATTCATGGCAAGCAAGAAAAAAACGACAAAGCTTCCTTAAAAGGTATCTGATGTTCATTGTGTGTACTCTGTAATTGCAGCTTTGTGCCAGACTGGCTCTGTAAGTGAATGCTTTTAAATGAGCTTTGTAATTTTGAAAATAAGAATTAACCTTAACCTTTAAGCAGGTATCCAGCCCTAAAGTCCTGATAGGAGTGCGTTCATTGTCAGTCAAGACAAAGTGGAAAGTAAAATCCAAGTAAAATTCTTCTTAAAATGTGACTTTATTATTACATATTATCCTTTGAGCCCCAAGTGTTTGGATGGCACCATTCGGAGACCACAACTTGGAAAGCCTTCAGCCAAAAATATTACTGTTTGCAGAACTATTTACCTTCATCTTGAGAAGGATGGGCCTGAGCTTGGTCTTGTCTCAGCCCAGTGTGCTTTGAAGTGGACTAGGGACTGATAACCATTGCTTTATAAATTGCTTCAGAACTGTCTTCTAGCCTTTGTATCAAACTTAAAATTGGCAGCACTATGAAAAAGTGTGGTTCATTGGCCTAGCTGCGGACAGTTTAGTTTGAGCTCAGGTCTCAGTCAGGAACCCCTGAGCTGTTTTGAATAAGGAACGCAAAATTGGTGGTTTTTCCTAAGTCTCCTGCAGAATATTGCTTCCAGGGGCTTTTGAGCCAGGTTTGCAACAGAAAAACATGTATTTCAGAAGCAAAGGATTGGCCAATCTGGATATATTTTCACAAAAAAAGTAGGTGACCTTTCTCATGTTTGGGGTAATTGCTCTTCTCTAAATTTCTTCTCCAGACTATGGCTGGAGATAGTGCAAAGGTGAACAGTTTTCAGCATAGGTTAAACTGACTGTTCTTTGCAAGCTTTGTTCTTTAAAATGGCTAAATCACTTTCGCTCAAACTCTCCAAAGAAATGAAGTCAGAAGCAGGGAGAAATTATGTAAAAAATCAGTGCAAAGAGTTCAAGTCTGGCAGAATTATAACCAAAGCCCTTCCTAGTCCTTTGGTTATATTTTCTACCGTATTTACCAAAGGTAAATTATAATGTGATACGGCAAACAATATAGAAGTTGCAGTTCTTCCATCTACAACTAAATGCAGAATGTGTCAAATATATGTGTGCTGTTTGTTAGGTATATCGCATAAATTTAATGTATATGTGCAGTAAACACCGTAAATCTATGCAAAATACAATAATAAAGATGTTAATGCAATACAATAAATAATGCAGTAACAGATAAAATCAACATATTTTTCATATCCTGTGCACATACATGCATGCGCAAAATGTGTGAAATACACAGAGTAAACTTAATTCAATTTCTCTTTACAGGGAGAAAAAGACCTCTGCATCCCTTTTCCCTAATCAGAGTGCCTGGTGCCAAAGTCCAAACTCTCCCACGCACCCTCACTTTTCTCTGATTAGACCATTAACCATGGGGAATGATGGCAGCAGTTTGTGCAGGCAGTCCCGGTGTCAGTCAGCAAGGCCTGACCCCGTGCCAGGTGAGTTCAACAACAGATGTGGTATATGCTGTAGCATGCACAGTGGCAACGGGGTGGATTTTCTGGCACAAATATCTCAAGACTTGAAATACATGTATGTTACTACTGCTTACTTCTATAGCAGTGGTCTCCAAACTTTTTTAATTGTGCATCTGTATCAGTAAAAAATTTTTGAATGTGATACCAATATATGTACATTTATTTATTTATTTGTAAATTATATACATTTACTACTGCAATAATATATCATATCTATTATAAAGCATACACACAAATAGAAATTTAAAAGGATGAGATAAAGATTAAAAAAAATACTATTTAAAAAGTATTTTAA